GACACTCAAAAATGGAATATTATTTGCAGAAAAATTAATTCCTTATCCAAAATTTTTTTTAGACCAATTATGTCCTCTACTAAGTGATTTTTATGTCCTGGAGCAGAAAGAAAACAGGGCTGAGTACTGACGGTCCCTGGAAGAAGTGGGGCATCGCGATGAGGAAAGATCCAACGGACATAATCAGGCAGCCGATGCCGATCAGCTTTGGCCGATGGAGTTTAGCCCCAAAGTAGCTCACAAAGGCAATCACCAGCAGGTTTCCTGGGGGGGGGAAAGGTTAGGGAGAGGGTTAGCATCTGGGTATAATCACTCACTTTAGCATAGCATGCTATCACATGATGTATGCTAATTACTGATTGTTTTATTTCCTTTTATAACTGTATTTTGTGTTAAATTCTCTGGCTGTGTCCACAGACTCTTTTTTCTCTCTTTTTCTTTTTCTGTTGCATTACATCCACCCCATTTGTATTTTTCTTTATCTAATCAAATGAGATTTCCTGTAATATTCAGCATCTTGATGCTCAGAACTCAGTTATTGTGTCTTTGCCCTGTTAAAACTGGAAGAAAGGCTTTTATACTTGTTAGAATTTGGTTATAATTACTCACTTTAGCATAGTATGCTATCACATGATCTATGTAGATTACTGATTGTTTTATTTCCTTTTATAACTATATTTTGTGTTAAAGTCTCTGGCTCTTTTCCTTTAGGTCAACACACAAACACACCATTTGTTATTTAATTTGTTATCTTTTTATCTAATATAATGGGATATCCCACAATATTCTGCATCTTGATGCTTAGAACTCAGTTATTGTGTCTTTGACCTGTTAAAACTGGAATGAAGGCCTTTATCCTTGTTAGAATTTGGTTGTAATTACTCACTTTAGCATAATGTATAGCATTAGCTATAGCATAGCATTAGCTATGACATGATCTATGCTAATTACTGATTGTTTTATTTCCTTTTATAACTATATTTTGTGTTGAAGTCTCTGGCTGTGTACACAGACTATATTTTCTCTCTTTTTCTTTCTCTGTTGCATTAGATCCACACCATTTGTCTTCTAATTTGTTATCTCTTTATCTAATCTAATGAGATATGCCATAATATTCTGCATCTTGATGCTTAGAACTCAATTATTGTATCTTTGCTCTGTTAAAACTGGAAGAAAAGCCTTTATGCTATATAATTACTCACTTTAGCATACTGTATAGCATTAGCTACAGCATAGCATTAGCTATAGCATTGCATTAGCTATCACATGATCTGTGTAAATTACTAATTGTTTTATTTTATTTTCTAACTATATTTTGTGTTATTGTGTGATCATTTCCCCGTTAGTGACTTGTAGATAATATTCGATGTATTTAATCTGTTTGTGAATTATTCACATGAAGAATCCTCCAGAATCCTCCGGCTTTAACCTCCTGAGACCCTGTGTCCTCATAAGAGGATGTTGCATTTTTGTCTCTCTTTACCATGATACTTCTTTTTTTCTTTCAGCTTTGACCTCTTGACCTCATAGCAGATGCTATCAGACACTGTCTGAAATCTAAAGTAAAATGGTTTTATACATTTACATCCAATCATGTTCTTATTGTGTAATAGAAAAACTGTAAATGAGTCAATGGGACTGTCAGAACAAAATTGTAAAAACATTTAATTAAATATGTATCTCATATATCTTTAAAAAAAAAGCTAAAATGCATGCCAAATAAAAGCTCGGGTCTCAGGAGGTTAAGTCTGTTAACCTGGTTTTTTTGGGTTTTTTTCCAGCTAATTTTACTCAAAAAGGATGAAAAGATGTCCGTTTTTAAACAACAAGGTTAAAAAAATCACACAAAATTAATATGGGAACCAGATATATTACTAAAATAAATCACAATATGTCAAATTTAGACATCAATTTCAGCCTTTTTCATCCAGATTCAGCTCTAATTTTCTCCTAAAGACTCTGAAAGTCTGCGAGAAAAAGCCAGAAAGCCTTCTCCTTGTCTAATAAATGTCATTTTTTGATACTTTAGATCCACTCTGGTTTGTTCTCAGGTTTCCAGCTAAAGAACGGGGTTAACAGGAGGGACGCACCCATCTCGAAGCTGCCATCAATGACCCCGATCAGGGAGCTGGGGATGTCGAAGCGCCGCTCTATCTGCGTGATGGAGCTCTTCAGGTACGCGCCGCAGAACGCTTTAGCGAAGTAAACGAAGGCCAGAGACACCAGGAAGAGCTGCGAACACACATAAAAAACCCAACAGGGTTTATAAAAGTATCGATACTCAAAAAAAGCAGTGGTGGAGAAAGTACTCATACAATGGACTTAAGTAAAAGTGCAAATACACAGACAAAAATGTACTCAAGTAAAAATTCAAAGTACCACATTATTATTTTATTTAAGTAACACTAAGAAAGTACAAGCTTTTAAAACTACTTAAGTATTAAAAGTAAAAGTACTTGCCAACAGTGGTGGAGAAAGTACTCATACAATGTACTTAAGTAAAAGTGCAAATACACAGACAAAAATGTACTCAAGTAAAAATTCAAAGTACCACATTATTATTTTACTTAAGTAAAACTAAGAAAGTACAAGCTTTTAAAACTACTTAAGTATTAAAAGTAAAAGTACTTGCCAACCATAATACCTAACGGCTTATATAATGTCATTAAGTGTACCTATCGTATTTAGTTTGAATAAATCAGTAATGTACCATTTT